GAATAAAATAAAATAGAATAGAATAGAATAGAATAGAATAGAATAGAATAGAATAGAAACACTATTTGCCAAGCAATTACATTTCCATTACGCATTCCACAAAGTACCACCGATTTTTTCTCCAATATACACGTTTAATATAATCGTTATTTAATCGTACACGGATGATGCACGTCCGTCTCGCAATCTACAATTTCCTCTAACAGTTCACGGAATTCTCACCGAAAGAAGATCCGTATCTCTCTCGTCCGCGTCTGAGCCGGTGCTCACGGGTCAGTAAATCCCGGGATGTGACGTTTCGCGCCTCCGCGACCATCTGAAACAGCTGCTTATGTGCCGTTAAACGTCACGGGGACCGAGCAAAATCTTGGTTGATGCCAGTTACTCTTCGCGTACCATTGCATGCTCGAAAGTCACTAGTGATGGGATCAAGTATATCGCAAATGTGAAATGAAATGAAACGTATCACGAATGAAATATATCTTTTTCACTCTTTGTAATTCCATTGTTATTTACAAAAGATTCGATCCGTTTTAAGATCAAAACAAAAAAATAATTCTCTATGAAATGAATTTTTTTTTCGCATCGGATTCGATTTGAATTTACAAGTGCATAGTTTTACATCAAGTTTTACAATAGTTTTACAAGTTTTAAAACTTGATCCCATCACTAGCTGTGACTTCTTATCTGGGATCTCGGACGATGGTAACTGTTCATTTGTCGACGGACCGACCGCACGATAGAAAACGCGGTCGGCAATCCATCGACCTACTCGCAAGAACGGTGATAGTAACGACTTCCGGTACGTGGAAGACAATCTCTGTATAGTCGTCCTTTGAGATTTTTCGCCGATCTCTTCTCTGTGTGAGATCCAAATGAGATCGTTTTCGCGACGCGTGCGCGTAAATAATTTATATTCTGGGATGCAAAAGGATTTCGATATGGATGACGATAAATAAGATTTTGATAAAGTATGATTTATAAGCTTGGACGATATCTAAATCTTTCGGGAAATAACGATTCGTGTAAATAGAATTTACCGATTCTTACGATTTATGAGTTGTTGATTCAACTGATCGAGATAAAAATTTAATTAAGTTTGAAATTAATTGAGAGTAAAATTTTCTAGTAAATTTATTTATTATATATCTTATAAATTTTTATGTGGATATAATTTAAGAATCGGTTTTTCCTTTAAAAAAATTGCACGAAGATGAACAATTCAACCATCGTATTATATTTTTTGAGTTAATAGTATTAATCGAGTAAATAGAATTTTCCGAAAGATTTATATATTTTTTTTTTTTTTTTTTTCGTAGAATCTCGTTAATCTTGAAAAAGAACTACGTGTCGTAATTTTATTCGTTTTTAAGCGATTTTTTAGTGACGAATAATTGAATTCTAGCTTCCTTAGAATTTCAATGTTAATATAATTGCGTTGATAGTTCAATTATTTCGATCAAGAAATTTTATCAGTTTTTTGTATCGTGGAACTTAAATAACCTTTCAGTTTAATAGAACAAATTTATGCACGGAAAGAGACGCGTCAGAATGAGAATTTCGTGGAAACCATTGTTATTCTCTTTACTTTCACACGTTTCGATGTTCTATCGGAAATGTTGAAAGCAAAGATCAATTAGAGACAATGAAACGGCAAAAATTCCAATCAGATAAGTGACGCGTTAACACGTTAAGAAACTTAAACCCGTTAAATTTACACGATTACTCGAGATTCTCGTTCTACAAAATTTCGTAACTTAGAAAGAAGGAACAGATTGAAAAAGTTTTCTCACATTTTTAGATTTTACTCATTGTAAAATCTAAAAGAAAAAAATTAAAAATTAGACCAATTTTTTTTTCTTTGTCATCTATTTGAGATTAAATCCAATCGATTCGAATCTTTTCATACCTAGTTTATAATACTTATCTATATATATAAAAAAAATCCATACATCAGACGTGTGGCTACTTATCGCTAGAGGCAGCGACGCGAGACGAGAAGATCATTGAAACCGATACGCGAGGGACAATGAGCCGTTATCGTTTCGTCATCGATCTCTCCCCCGTTTCGTTCACGTAGAGAAAGAGAGAGAGAACCGTAGGCGTTGATTGAGTGCACGCGAACCAACCGTTGTCGTTTTTCTTTCACGGCTCGGAATCCCAAGATCCCGTAACGCTTGCAAGAAGTTTAAGCCCCCTAGTTGACACGGTGACTCGGTCGGCTCGGTTCCATGGTGTTCGCCTACTAACTATACAATCGTGGGTATCGCCTATCTCTTGCAGGGGTTGTTATCATAATTAACGGCCCGTTCGCTTAATTGACTTTTGCCCGGACAATTAACGACCTTCTTGAATTTTATTACTCGATAATCGGTCGTACGCGAACCAGCGAGTGTAAAACGGTCCGTGTCTAATCCTTGTTTGTTTTCGGAACCGGTATTGCGCCATAAGAGTAACCAAAGTATTCGAATGGTATGCTGGAAAGTAATTAATCGGAAGTAAGAAGTGTACAATGCGTTTATCCAAGATAATTTAATACGAATTCTTGAAATGTACGATCCTTTTTTCTTTTCCGTTTTTTCCTCTTTCTTTCCAATTAAAGCATATATCTCATCCCCATAACTTCTTGCGCGATGAATTATTCTTTTTTTTTTTTTTTTTTTTTTTTTTTTTTTTT